AATGAACAAACCTCTAAGCTTTATAGTTTAAACGTGATTTAAACGTGAAAATAGTTATTAAAACGTAACCTTCTGAGACACGAAAGGAATGATAGCAGTACATATAATTTTAATATACAACGATTGATTTAGGTGCTGAAAAGTATTTTGTAAATATAGTTAATATAACATATACAATAAAAAAATATTAATTGTGATTATCATATCTTTAAAAGCTTATGCGATTTTATGATTTTCATTTTATAAAATATATTGATAGACTACTGCTTAAATATAATTTTGTAACCAAAAGTTATTCTAATGTGTCATATTTAAGGACTAAAAATTTTAAGCTGATTAGATATTATAAAATTTTTTAAATAGTTATATTACTGCTTAATGTCAATATGAAATTATCAAATATTTTGATAAAATATATACACAGGTATCATATATAGATATAACATTTAAATTAATTAATGTGAAGTAATATATGTAATAAAAATCCCAGTAATTTTTTTAGAAGCATGAGAACTTTTCTTGAGCATCATTTAAACGATGCGCACATGGGTCGTCTAACTTTTAAACATAAACACAGCTGATTTGTATTTGAAAGGTAAAAAATATAAATATTGTTCAAAGAAAATTTGTTCTTAATTTTAAATAAAATAAATTTATTAAAATGATTTTAAGAAATCAATTAACTAGAAATTTAATAAATGTATGCCGCCACTTTAGCTATGAACAAGGGCAAAGACCTACACCTAACGTTAGAGAATATTTTTATTACATCGATCATGAAGGCATGGTTTGTATTCACATCTACTTTATATAAGTTATTTAGTTTAATAATTCAAATAAATTATTTACAACAGTTATTTTTAGATGATGCTAAGATAAAGAACTTTACATCTTGTTTGAAAGAAAAAAAATTTTTGAAATTCTTCTTCAATCGTGTTAAGTTAAATAACACAAAAAGATACGACACTGAGTTTCCATATATATCACCTTGTGGACGAGAACTTAACTACATAAGATGCGATGATGTACCAATTGTTTACACAGAAGTAAAACAAAATTGTGAAGAAGGCAAAGATGAATTGCTTTATGCTCATGCGGGAGATTTGTTAAAAGTTGATTTTCAACCCGAAAAAATTTATATAAATCCTACAACTGGAAGAGTCTATCATCCAGCTTGGCAAAAAGTAGGTGATATTGGCTTGATTCGCTCAAAACTTGCTATAGAATTAAGTAAAAACTTTGAATTCAATAATGGAGAACAAATGTCACCAACACATTTTAATTGGCGAGGAAAATGTTATCCATTAAAAAATGATTGGATACTTGGAATTAAAAAATATGGAATATATGCCTAGACGCGCGTACAAATATATTGATATTATTCTAAGATTGATTTTCACATAGTGTGTTATAAAAAAAATAGATTGAAAAAGTTTTTTTTAAAAATATTTTAATGTTTATGTAAAAATATAAAGGGTCTGTTTTAAATGTATTGTTAAAATGATTTAATTTTGCGTCTGTGATAACTCAATAAAATATTAATAGATTAATAAAAACATTAACATTAATAAACTATACAAGTAATAATACTTTATTCTAAGCTTAAAGGCGTAAATTCTCCTTCTTTCACCCACGACAAACCTTTTGAATTGGTCGAATTTGCGGCATTAGATGAGTGTTTGTTTAAACGTATATGCTCCATTGTGGGTCCATGAACTTCCTGTTCAAACTTTTCAAATGTTATATAATGTGGATCATCTGTGGGTGATTGCTCATATATTCGATCTTTACTATTGCTCACACATTCTTTAACTTGTGCAATAAATTCAGCACGATTGTGTCTTAATAATTCAGCAGCTTTTACGTTATTACACTGCGGGGTGCCTTCGGTACCAGCTACCATATGTAGACATTCTAATGTATCTACAAATATAGCCTGCAAGTATTTTAATAATTGCCATACATGATCTTCACCAGAACGCCAATGCGGGAACGCAGCTGATATGTCTAAGGTACCAGTATAGGGACAAACTAACGGATGAAAAATATCGCTTTGAAAAATAATTGTCTATAAAAGAATGAATTGTTTAACAAATGTAAATTAAATTTATGAATTAACTTACTGGAGACGTTTTATCATCAGGAAATTTATCTGGTAATAGGATAGTGAACCGAAATATTCCACCTGCGTAAAATCCCTGTCGTATGAAAATCACAGCATACCAAACTGTAAGTGTTAAATTTGATTTATCAGGAATTATTAAATAAAATCAAATACATTATTCAAAAATTTTAGTTTATACAAATCATAATAAAAAGTAGAATCACTTACGCAATGAGTTCCCGAAAGAAGGTATAACGTACACACCTCCTATTTGCTCCGATTCAATCATTTTACTTAAATTATGGATATTTAAATATTTGTAATTTGATATTTCAATTTACTTACTATTCAGCCAAAATTTTATATTCTTGCTGAATTGTGGTCAGCAATTTTTCATCAGTTTTATGTGCTTCTAACGTCATTATATTAATATCAATTATATTTCACAAAAAATGATTACAATTTGCTATAAGATCTAAAGAAAATATAAACATAATATTAAGAACAGCTGATTCAGAGTTCATCAATAATCAGGGTTGCATTTAAAAGAATAAACTACTTCACATTAGAATTTAAATCACATACAACACTGAAGGTACATTATGGTAAAAATATTATATAGTGGGAAGGCAATACTGACATCATTTTTAACAAATTGATAGGTAAAGTGCTTTCAAAATACAATTTACGAAATCAGAAAATTTTACTGAGCAAAACCAAGCTCATTTGCCTTAATATTGACAAGCCGCGGCCCAGTGGGCATCCACGACAAAATTTGGGTAAATTTGGAAAAGATATATATATAATAACTTCATTTGTACATGCCCAATTCTGGTAATATTAAGAAATTTGATTTTAGAGACCTAGTTCTAGTTGACAGTCAAAAGATAGGTCTTTAAAAAATAGTCTCTTTTATCAATTCCGGAGATTAATTTTAAAATGTGAATTTTCATGATACTTGCGCTATTTGAACAGAAAAGAAAACTTTATCGTCACTACAGCCAATCAATCAACCATAAAAATTGTTATAATTCTTTTTATTCATTTTCTTTATATTTCATGGTACATGATGGTATCAGTAAAATGTCTTGCTTCATTTTTTAGAATATTATTGCAGAAATTATTTTACTGTATTTTCTTTATCCTGCCGATTTCTTTTACACAAAACTTCTCTTTTAACCAGTAATAAAACGTATTATTGCATGCACAAAAATACAACCATGCACTATGTTGCTTACTTTGAAAATTTTACTATTTCTCCACACTGACACAACCTGTTTACTACAAAATATTTATATTCTTTATTTACACTCTCTTTGAATTTCTAGTAGTCAATGAGTTCAGCGGAAAACAACAATAGTAGTTCGTAAATCAGAAGCCATAAAAGGTATGAAATAATAATGCTGTGATTGATTATTTAAAGTAAAAGTAATATATTTTTATAGATGCATTGCGTATTAGTTGAGTACGTATAAGATTTAAAAAAACTTTCAGACGCGGAGCTGAAGTGAAGTGTTATATAAAAAAAGCGGACAAAATTTACTAGTAATAAGCAAGATTGACGTAAACTTGCAAAAATAAACGTGACTTGAATTCAAAACCAGTATAAAATTCGTCGAATCGATAAGTCATGGTCGCTGCAAAAGCTATTGCAGATCTCTGCATTTATATATTAACTTGGAACGTTGGTACGAATTCGCCAAATAATCTGTCATTGACAGATGCACTATCGCTAAATGGTACTTCCAATTGCCCTGACCAACAAATCCCTGATATATATGTTATTGCATTACAAGAAGTTAATACCAAGCCAAAAAATCAACTTTTGAACTATTTTCAAGATGATCCTTGGGTTTTCAAGATACGTGAACATTTTAACGATAAACAGTTTGCCAAAGTATCAACAGAACAATTGCAAGGTATTCTCATTATGATGTTTTCGCAAATACAGCATATTCCACATATAAAGGATATTGAAGTTGGAAGTACTAAGACTGGTTTTGGTGGCTTATGGGGTAACAAAGGTGCAGTTAGCATACGTATGAGTTTATATGGTACTGGTGTAGCATTTGTTGGTGCACATTTAGCTGCTCACGACAAAAAACTAAAAGACCGAATAGAAGATTATAATCAAATTATAAATAATCATCACTATGATACAAACAAATACAAAACTATATTTGATCACGATTTTGTTTTTTGGTTTGGTGATCTAAACTTTCGCATCGATGGTACTGACTCAGCGTGGGATATACGTACTTTAGTGGAAGCTCGCCAATATGCTGAGCTACTTGAACGTGATCAATTAAATTTAGTGCGTAAAACTGGAAATGCTTTTGGCCGATTAGAAGAGCATACTATTGATTTTGCACCTACATTCAAATTTATTGAGGGTACATCGGATTACGATTTAAATCGTAGACCTGCATGGTGTGATCGCATTCTATATCGTGTTCAAGCTGATAAATATCCTAGCATTAAGTTGAGTCTCGACCAGCTATCATATAAATCACATCCTGAGTATACATTATCTGACCACAAACCAGTATCTGCCGAATTTCTCTATAAAATTGAAACCGAAACTCATACCGATGAAGACCTCCACATACTAACACATAGTGATGGAAATACCGAAACTCCATTAGCCAGTGTAATTATATTGACTACTGCATTTTTATACGCATTTATTTAAGTTTCTGTCTTCCATAGTTTTTTTAGTGTACAAAAAAACGAAAATTTATTAACTCAAGAACAAATCTGAAAGATTGGTGATAAGGTTGACGTCAAACGTTTAGTAGTCAGTATGTTAAAGAACTACCTCTCTCTGTATTTTGGGTCTTCACCTTCGTTTTGTTTTTTTTGTTAAAGTTAATTATTTTGTTTTGTCGAACGAAGGCAGTTTCTCAAAATCTTCTCAAGTTTTTAACACACAGTAATCTCACATAATTTATACTCCTTATTATTAACAAATTATATACACTTAAAACTGTATTAATATTCACCATATTGATTGTATAAGTTTGAACATTTTATATAATACTTATATCAGTAATGCAGATTAAAAATTTTTTGAAATTGCTAATTGAAATAATGTGTTTTTTACATGTATTAGAGACTCTCTTAATTACTTTATACTAGTATCAATAGATGATACGTACACAGTGTGATTTAAACATATTGTATAATAAAATATCATATATGAATATCCGTGACAAATTTAAATAATATAATAATTCGTCTATTTGAATTATTTTTAGTACATGCATATTAATTACATAAATAATATAGACTTAGAAAACATATTGTTTATTAAACTCAGATGCTCAGTCAAATTAAGTAGAAAGCAATATATTATTACTATTGATATTTATTTTGTTTTAAAATTATACAAATTTTATCTTTATTTTATATAAATCTAAATAAATAAAATTAGTAAGAGTAGATATAAAAAATTGTTTACACTTGTTAAATATAATACCGAATAAATAAAATATTCACACAATTGCACACATATTTTTTATCTTTTGTTTTATATACAATCTTTTGTTGTAGTGTTAATTAAATTAAATAAAATAATATGTCGTGGTGGGGATCTCCTCATCTCCAAAATGTTTCGCTAATAATATATATATGCATACCTAACATTGATAAGCTTTGAAATGTCAATGAAGATCTTCAATTTTCTTAATCGTATCTTCCAATGGAAACAGGTGCAATAATTGAAGCATAATTCAGTGACAAGAGTGGTGCCGCTTCATTCTTGTTGAAATGGATTAATCATGCCGTAGAAGAAATATTCATAGTTCATCAATCTAGGAAATAAAAACAAGTTATTATGTGATATAGAGTATATCTTCTATATGTATGTTCTACTACTGTAATAGTTGGCTTTTTGCAATACAACTATTCTTTTATAATATGAATTGTTGCTAGAAATGTAATTGATATGTATGTATATATATATATATATATATATATATACAAAAGTTATATTTTTAAATTTTATGAATTAGAATTTCTCATCAGTAAATAATTATATCATTTTCACATTGAATATCATCAACATATTTAATCAATTCGTCCAGTTCGAGAGAGAGAGACATAAAATAATGAAATCGCAGACAGTGAATCTACAAAATATATAACTATATAAGGTAAAGAAATATATTAACACTTAAGTCAGTTTTAAAGTATTTTTAAGCATAAGTATTATTAATATTTCCATATTAGGCAAGAAAACATAGAAATCTTAATAGCCAATATATTGGCGTAATTCCGAGTAATGTCAGCTATTTTGAGGAAGATTGTTCTTTTCACTGTTAC